CTCATTCTTGGAGTTGAAGGGAATGAAGAGAAAGCCAGCCGTATTTTATAGCCCCAGAGGGGATTTTAAAAGCATAGTAAAAATGCATGGAGGTAAAATTAAGATATAGTAGACAGAGCAATCAAATTCTATAGTTTCTTAGACTTTGCCCATTTTCTTACCTTTCCCCCGCCGCCTTCATGTTTTTATAAAAGTATTTTCCAGGTTTGTGCATTTAATCTGAATCTCCATACCTCATCTGAACAAAATTCCCATAAATCATCCTTCCTGAAAACCTCATTTTTTAAAATTCTAATAATGATGACAATAAAGTTGGTAAAGGTTTTCTTATTTATTTATTTATTTTTAGGCCTTCCATTTGAAAAGCTGTCACATGAAAATCTTGTTGAGACCGTCTGTTTGGGGGATGGTGTAGATACATGTGAACTTTTGCCAGGGGTTTGTGGATGCAGATTCCTTTGGGGTCGTGGGTGAGCCATAGAGTGGTGAACTTCAGATTGAATGTTAAATTTTTCTCTTCTGAGGTAACCCCTAAGCCGTGTTTGTCATTAGGACCCTCTTACTGTCCAGTTTTTCTCCTGCCCTGAGATGATTCCCTGACTCCTGGATTCTTCATCTCCTGCTTGCTAGTACCCCAGCCTATCCTAGCAGTGAGCAGAGGGCCTCATCTAGCAAATCAAGCGTGCCCATTAAGGCGTATCTTCTGCAGTCAGCCCTTAGTATCACTGCATTATCTTCCTGGTCGCACACAGTTTGACATTACAGTTGTCCCTGGTATGTGTTGGGGATTGGTTCTAGCAATCCCGAATACACCCAAATCTGTGGATGCCTAAGATCTTTATATAAAATGGTATAGTATTTGCATATAAACTGTGTATATCCTCTCGTATACTTAGTCATTTCTAGTCATACCTGTAACAACTAATATGCTGTAAATGCTATGTAAATAGTTGTTATACTATATTGTTTTTTATTTATATTTTAAAATTGTTGTATTGTTATTTTTTATTCTCTTTCAAATATTTTTGATCTGTGATTGGTTGAAGCCATGAACGCAGAACCCACAGATACGGAGGATTAACTGTGTCTTACACTCAGAACCACCCTAGGCTCCAAACGCTCCATGTTATCCAGAGAGAAGTGCCATTATCTGTTCTCTTAGATCTGGGCAGCAAATGATTCTAAAGGGACTAAGAGAAAATATTGCAGTGTTGGTAGCAGACATTAACTGAGCTCTTAGTGCCAGGCCTAGCACTAAGCACTTTATCCGTTTTTCTCCCGCCTCATTTTATTGTCACATTAATGCTGTGCTGTTGGACCTGCTCCTGTCTCCTTTTTTTTTTTTTTGAGATGGGGCCTTGCTCTGTTGCCCAGGCAGCAGTGCAGTGACACCATCTTGGCTCACCACAACCTGTGCCTCGCAGGTTCAAGCAGTTCTCCTGCTTCAGCCTCCCCAGTTGCTGGGATTACAGGCACACACGACCACACCCTGCTAACTTTTCTATTTTTTGTAGAGACGGGGTTTCAGCATGTTGGTCAGGCTGGTCTTGAACTCCTGACCTCAGAAGATCTGCCTGCTTTGGCTTCCCAAAGTGCCGGGATTATAGGTGTGAGACACTGTGCCCAGCCGCCCAGCCCCTGTCTCATTTTTAGCAGATGAGGAAACCCAGGCCTAGAAAGGTTAAGTGATTTCCCAAAGCTCACGCAGTGAGTGAGTGCTGAAACGGGACTGGGACCCTGGCGATCTGACCGCACAGTCCCATGCCGTTGCAGGTGGTCAGGATGCAGCCTGCCTGATGCGGGGTCTCATGTTGTGAATGATGAGCACAGGAAAGGCAGCAACGGGATTGGCTGCTGCCCGCATGGAAGGATGCAGAGATGCCACAAAACCTAGCCTGGTAACAGAAGGAGGGGCCGAAAGCAGCGATCTTGTAACTTCACTCATTTTAGAAGTCAGCATATTTCAAGCATATGCCCTTCGTTTTCTTTTCCCTTGTTCATGCCTCAGCTCAGATCCTTATTATTCTAAAAAATATTTTTGTTAAATAAAGTACTTCTTCTAGAACATAAAAGAGTTACATATACATGGTAATAAAATCCAAATGGTCTAGAAAGTTCTGAAATAAAATGTATTTTCTACTCCCTCTCTCAACTCCTAATCTCTCTCCCCAAAGGTGATCACTGCTAAGTCTCTTATATATCCTTCCAGAAACTTTTAAGTACCCTTGTTCTCACACCTCGCTGTGGGACAGCTGCCTTCCCCACATCCTATTCTGTAAGCCTCGCTGATGAGAGCGGTGATTTTCAGGGAGGAGTCACAGAAGCCTAGCCATGCCTCTGCCTGCTGGGTGTTAACGTCATCCAGGACTGTAGTCCTCAGCAATTGCTTAATTGGTTCCCACTCCTCTATTGATTGCAGCTTCCACTATGTACCCTGTAGTGGAATCCTGGAAACGTATCCAGTGATGAGGGGCTACGCTGCAGGCCACGCAGAGAGTGTTCTGACTGCACAACCCGCCAGACCCTGGCCATTTGTGGAAATTGTCACATTGCTAGGCTGCTTTTTTTTTTTTTTTTTTTTTTCCTGAGATGGAGTCTTGCTCTGTTGCCCAGGCTGGAGTGCTGGGGCACAATCTCGGCCCACTGCAACCTCTGCCTCCCGGGTTCAAGCGATTCTCCTGCCTCAGCCTCCCGAGTAGCTGGGATTACAGGTGCCTGCCACCACACCCGACTCATTTTTTAATTTTTAGTAGAGATAGGGTTTCAGCATGTTGGCCAGACTGGTCTCAAACTCCGGACCTCAAGTGATCTGCCTGCTTCAGCCTCCCAGATTGCTGAGATTACAGGTGTGAGCCACTGCACCTGGCTGGCCGGTTCTTACTAGTTTGGCTGGAGCTTCTTGCCCATAATGTCCTCAAGCATAAGTTTCCCCTGCAATGAGTGGTGATTTTTGCCTGTTCATGGGGAAGAACTTTCAGAAGACCTTCTTATTCTTGAAAACACCTATGTACTTAAGCATCCACATCTCATGGCCCTGATGCAGAATGAATTAAGAGGACAGAAAGATTTGGGGAAGCATCATTGGCCATTACACCTGCTCCTGAACCTTTCTGAGCTCTGTAGATGGAGCTTGAGATGTTCCTGTGGACCAGTGCAAACTGGAAGTCTTGATGTTCTCTGAAAGTTCCTGGCTTCTGATGTGTCCTGCAGACGAGGTCAGCTCGCTACAGTGAGGTTGGATACCATATGGCGGGGACTTTTAAGTTGTCTGTTTCACCCAGGGTGGGGTTCATGCCTAGTCTGTGACCTCAGTGGGGGGCAGGACGGATTCCATAGGAGCACCCATGTTTACCTTCTCGTCTTTTCCCGCTTGCTTCTGCCATTTGCTTGTGCAACCCAGACACTTGGGTGTGAGGGTCTCAGCTCTCCAATTAATGATTCTTTACTTCCCTCTTTTAAAACATTTTTACCATACAGCGAATAAATGTTGCTCATACTATCTGCATAATGAAGTTTAGGAATAACTGCCCCCTGCCAAAAGATTGAATGGAAGGCTCAGAAAGTGCTCATGTATGTTTTAAAAGACAATAAGAATTCTGTGTGAAAAATGGCCCACTTTTTAATTTTAATATTGAGAACAACTTCCTAATCCTAAAATGATTTTTTTCCCCTAATCCATTCTTGGGCATCTTCTTGAGTTTCTGGCCTACTTTGAGGGTTTACAAAGGCGCGATTCAAAGCTTTTTGAACAGGACTGGTCCTCTGGTTCCCTGTGAGAAGAGCCCAGGACCCTCCCTGTGAAAGTTCATCCCACCTTAATTTGTTCATCTGGACTTGGTCTTTGCCAGTGTGATTGAAGGAGTTCGTAAGCACATCCAGGAATACTATCCACCTGGGCAGGCATGCAGGAGACAGAGCCCAGGGTGGGCTCACTGGCTGCTTAGAGATGGATCGTGGGTTAACTTCACATTCTTGTTCTCTTGGGCCAAAGTCTTGTTCGTGGTTTAGAATAAGACACTGTTCAAGCAGCCTGTGGTCAGACTAAGACTACGTAGTCATCCTCAGAAGTGGCCTTCCAGTGTGCTCTGTGTGAGTCTTTTTTTTTTTTTTCCATAGAAACCAGCCAAAGGACAATGATATATTTAAGAAATAATCATTTTATCAGACGCAGACTGAAATGGATCAGGGTAAATAAGAAAGTAACTCGGTGGAGCCCTGTGTACTGCCAGGTGGGAGAGGAGTTCTCTTGTGTGGTTATGGGAAAAGGCGTATTTTCTTTCCCTTGATGCTTCATCCCACGTGTTTAGTGCACTGGTTTCTGAAACTGAAGACAAGAGGCAGCCCATTTTCACTGAATGACCTGGCCATCAGTAATTTCTAGAAGGACTGGGGAGAAACAAAGAATGGCACCCAATACTGGGGTCTTGGGTTATTTTGAGTTAAAGGGACTCGGAGCTGCGGAATGTCTTCCACTTTCAAGTCCTAGAACTCTTTCCTTGAGATATTCCACTTTACATTTCCAAAGACAGAGGAAATATGGAAGAGCTGGTTTCCGAAAAGTTTTCATAGAGTTTCATACACACAGCGCTGACCCATGATCTGGGTGGTCTGAGAGGAGATCCATTGTTCGGGGCTCCAGTACAGGTGCAGGTACAAGCATAAAGGTACTAATGAAGCCGGGGAGGACTGTCTGCATGTCTTCAAGTGACTCTCCGGAGGAATTAGGACAGAAAGAAAACTTACATTGTGATCAGATGCCATAGAAAAATTTCATAGAAAAACCTGAACATAGGAACATACAATTTGGATGAAATCTAGTACTGCATGGACTGGAGAGCAGAGGAGTTGGATTCCAGTGGTTTTCTAATTTGGTTTCTGACTTCTGCCGGCCCCCAACCCATTCCTTTCTAAGATCCGATACTCTGGCTGGGCTCTGGCTGACTTCCAGCCTTCTCGGGTGGAGCCAGGATTACATCTGTGTCTTTGCATTTTGTATCCAGGTTTCGGCTGAGTCCAGCTCCTCCATGAACTCCAACACCCCGCTGGTGAGGATAACAACACGCCTCTCTTCAACGGCAGACACCCCCATGCTGGCAGGGGTCTCTGAGTATGAACTTCCAGAGGACCCAAAATGGGAATTTCCAAGAGATAAGTGAGTACTTCTCTTGGCCGCATCCCAGGATGGAGACTCAGCTATAAATGGGGAGATTGGATTAACATTTTCTTTTTATGACCTTTAGCCACAAAGGTCTTGCAGTGATGATGTCAGCAGGAGTGAGATTGTATTTCTAAATAACCAACTCCTGGAAAAGAAAAGAATGGATTAAAAAAAAAACAGCTCCTTGAAAGCAGAGCTGCTTGCCCCTGGCTGGTCCCCAAAGAAGATGGCATCTGGTTATCATTTTTTAAGTGTCTGGGCAATTCAGACTCCGTCAAATGGAATAAAAGTAGAATTATCCAATTTATAAAACAGATCTGACATTCCAGTTTTTGGTTACTAGAACAAGACTGTTCTGTGTTCACTTCTGTGGAGAAATTAGAGGCAGAATATAAATGGCCTTAAGGACCTCTACCCAATGTTGCTGTTCTCATTGGTTATTAATATCATATTGGGCTGAAAAGCTTCAAATACGGTACCTGACATCTAATTTCTTAATGTTTTCCTTGTTGGATGATACAGAGGTGTGCCAATCAGATGTTTAGGCAAAAATGTGACCACCTGGGTATTGTTGGGGCTGTGTATCTCTTGGTCTCGTTTGAACTCCATGTACCGGGGCTCCGTTGGGGTGCATTTGAATCCTGGATTTGCCAGACAGTGGCTGGGCAACCTCGGGTGAGGCACCTGATTCTCTGAAATTCATTCTCATAAAATGAGGGTGGTGGTTCAGACCTCCCAGGACTGAGCAGAGTTCTTAGCTTGTGTGAGTTTTCCTTTCATTTCCCTTCACATGGTGGTAACCTGGGAGCTCTGAACTGCAAACCTCAGCAGGATCATTGTGTGGGGCATGGAGTCAGTGGGCAGAACTTGAACTACTAGCCCTCGTCCTCCAGAAGGGGACCGACCCCGAGATCCTCCTTCTGAAAGGAAGTGCAGTGGTGTTTGTAGGACTGTCCACTCACTCCTGGGGTACTTTTGGTAGTAACAGCTCGAGAGTATGGGAAGGCGGAAATGCTGACTGCTTCTGCATCACATACACTGGCATAAGCTCTTGACTTGCTTGTGAGCAGCTACCCTGTTTGCCTTGACATTCTCGGTAACTCCTGAGATTATGGTAGGGAAGTGTTTAATATACACTTCTCGTATATGCATATACACATTTGGAAATGCGAAGATAAGCTTTTCCAGAGACTGATCTGATGAGCTCTATTTGGAAGGGAGAGGTAGCTTATGTGGCTGGCACTTCTGATTTTGATTCACATGACGTCACATCAGTTTTGTTTCCCAACTGCCAGTTTAGAGATGTGTACCATTAGCTAGGACTGAATAATTGTATAGATATTATTTGGTTAGAGTGTTAATGGAAGTAATTTCCAGTTGATTTGTATACTGTAGTGAAAAGAACACTCACTCATTCACTTACTCATTCACTCAAGGCATGTTAATTGGACATTTACTGGTGGGGCACCAGAGAAAAACACAAAAAATAGTTTCTTTACCTGTAGGATGTGGAGAAATGGATGTTTCTTGTGAACTCCGCCAGCCCTAGTTTGTGTGTGATTATATACGTAGGTAGGTTCATGCGCACATTTCTATTATATATATGACCGAACTGGGGAGTTGTGATCATATTTTAAGAAATCGCAGCTTTCGGGTTTAGTCCATAGTTTTTGCCACCTGTGACACCGCAGTCAACAGTGGAAGTCTGTGTGTGCCCAACTGTTACCTCCCACCCGGGGTACCCTGAGTGTGGAAAATCTGAGTGCTAAACATTTCAAAACAGTGTTTAGTGCAAATGTAGGTGGAACAGATTTCCAATGAATGAAGGCTATTTAGAAGCAGTTTATTAGATTGGAGGCAGAAGTTATACAAAGAACAGATTGTTATGCTTGTAGTAGCAAGGCAGTGGGACATAAATTAGCCATTTTTCCAATGCAAATATTTATTTTCTGCCAAGATGTCAAATTTAATTTTAGTTCTGGATAGAAACAAAATGACCTCAGCATAGCGTATGCTGCCCTCAGTTTTTATGCTGAACTTTTGCAAACTATTGTGTATTTATTGTAAATACTGTTTACTGATGGCAGCTCCATGCTTTGCTGTATTATGCTTAGGTTAGAATAAGCCATATTCGGAAGTCTTCCAAAGACTTTTGCATTTTGTTGGTTTCTGGAATGCACAAGAACAATATATGGCTATTCGTCTGACGTGCATAGACCTTGTAGTCTTAGAAATTTAATTTGTGGTGTTCCCTTCGGATTTTCTTCATTGTTAATTTTATGTAGTCATAAGGGCTTTTAAACTTATGTCAAAAAAAGTCCCCAATTTTTTAGAATTTTCTTTTTAGTAAAAGATTAGAGATTCCTTGAAATGCTTTTAAGAGGCATATCCTGTAACTTGGCAAGGAATGTGACCATAAAATCCATTGGTATTTGAATAATAATAATTTTAAAGCCACCATTTTACAGGGACAAAAAAAAAAAAAAAAAAAAAAGAACAGTCTTAACGTTTTTTCTTTGAGCCATTCTAAATTACAAATATTTAATTGGCTCAAGATCAAAAGCTCCTCTCTGGCACTTAGGAAAGCTGACCACCGCACTAGCAAGGATACCTTCGCTAAAGAAAATAAACCAAGAATACCGATGTGAAATTCAATAGCTGTTTCACCAGTAATTGCCATTCTCTAAAACGTCACTAGGAAAATACTCGGGCGCGTGTGTACCCTAAGTCTCATTAGTTCCATATGATAAGCACTCCATGCTTTAGCAAGCCGCTGAAAGATTTTTATATTTAGTTCTGGAATTTCCCTCGCTACACCCCATCACCAGATGCTGTGTGCTAATCCCCTATTTACGCATTTAGGCTGACACTGGGCAAGCCCCTGGGAGAAGGTTGCTTTGGGCAAGTGGTCATGGCGGAAGCAGTAGGAATCGACAAAGACAAGCCCAAGGAGGCGGTCACCGTGGCCGTGAAGATGTTGAAAGGTGAGCAGGGAGGCGGGAGGCTCGGGGAGGGGCTGGGCTGGGTGGAGAGTCTTTATCAAGAAAGTTCCTTTTGTGGCATGTGAACTCTATCATGGCACAGGGTCAGAGAGCACATAGTTGACCTAGGGGTTGAGAAGTTTTCAGTATAAATCAGCATCTTGGACAGACTATTTATCTTGAGCTGTGTGTACTTATAAAGAAAAGCCAGTTCTGTTAGAAAGAGGTAGCCTCTTACATAGTTATTCTTTGACTCCTTCTTCGTGACCACGAGTCTTCATTCTCTCTGTATTTTTATGTGCTTAGAAATTATCAACTCACATATAATTGGATTTATTAGCTAGGAGTTGGTGTGTTGGATTTGGGACTTAAACCTTAACTTTACAAGTACAAGGAAATTTGTGTCTTTGGAGGGAGCGAAGAGACGTGAGGGAGCAGAAAGCCTTCTCTTTTGCGTGAGGAACAAAGCAGAAATGACGCTGGTCTGGGAGAGTCACTTAGAAGCTGAGAAGGAGCGAACAGGATCAGGGCTGATGCAGAGCCTCCTGGGACACGTAAACAATTACCCTGAGATGGAAATGTCGTGTTGTATTTGTGGGACTGTGAACACTTCTACATTAACCTTCCAACCCTGCTTCATGCCCATGTCCAAAGAACTTAAAGAACTTTTAACCATTAACTTATTCGTCCTGCAGTATTCTTTTATGAGAAGAGTTATAGGGAACGGTCACATTATAAATCCTCTTGTAGGGATCTCGGAAAGAAGATCCCACGCCGAGTGCTTCCCACGTTTCCAGGCAGAGAGGCCCGTCCTTGGCATATGGTGCCGGGCATGTCACAGGCGCTCTGGAGTTAGACTTTATCTGTCTTTTGTGGGTTCTCATGGGATAGTCATCACATCCCTCCCAAGGGGAAGTAGCAGGCTGGACTTTGTCAAAAAGAGGTGCGTTTTGTTTTTTGGGTTTTTTAAAAGGCTGTTTATCTGAATGACTCCCAAGGAAAACTAGAGTGCTTTGAGATGTTCCCCACCTTGGAGCCTGATGCTGGGGAGGAACACTGTGTTTTCTTGCCCCAGGTGTGGTGGCACCACTGACGGAGGCAGCCCCTGGCTGCGTACCAGGGGCAGGTGTGGAGAGGACCCAGGCTTCTCATCTCTTTTGGCGGAACTTCTGGTTTTGCTAATGGGGCTTAGAGTTACATGGGATATTGCAAAAAGGGAGGTCTGGGACTTCTCTTTCTCTTGTGATGCCCAGGCTGGCAGCCTTCCCTTTAAGGACACAGAAGGATGTTAGTCCCCAAGCCATTGTGGCATGTCCTTTCTTACAGCCCACAGCTGTGTCTCCCTCCCTCCTCATGGCCTGTGGCTCCCTCCTTCACATACATCAGTGTAAATTTTGCGTGCACAGTCACTTGTATTGATCTTCCTTTTGTGAAGCTAAAAAACTGTTTGCAACATGGTTCTTATCCATGCCCGTATTTCATTTTTTTAAAGGAAACCCAGATTTTTCCATACTGAATTAGCTTGAGGTGGAGGGCCCATGGGAAAGTCTTGCCCCTTAGGAGAAGCTAACTGCGAGCCCGTGTATGTGGAGCCTATGCCATTCTTACTTGAAATTACAGAGCGGAAGTTTATATAACATTTTTTAGGATGGGAATTGCAGTGCCTCTGAGAAGCCACTAGAAGTCACAGCCCTTACCTGCTCAGAATGCACATATACGCACGTTTATGGCCCTGTTTATGGGGAGCTCTCTGAACCCATCTCGGAGTGCTCCAAGGGCCTCGAGGGGCTGGGTTAGGAATGCTTGGTCGGGAACAAGTCTGTAGTGATTGAAAATCGCCCTATCCTTGGTCTCCTGGCTGGTTTCAGGCACCATGAAGTTTGGTGTGGTTTTCTGAGACACCTTAGATATGGCAGAGGATGAGATTATTTCATGGTCTAGGAAAGAATTGGCATGAGTGTCAGAAGCCCCTGCTCGCGTCCTGACTCTTGGCACCATCGGCTCCCCAGTGAGCTCTTTGACACAGAGCGAGGCAGTTCCCTGTGTAGGCCTTTGTCTCTCCCTCCATAAAATGAGGGAGATGATTTGGAAAATCTTTTCTGATTCTGAAATTCAATTTCATGCGTTTCAACTGAGTTCTTGGCAACTGACAGTAGCTGCCCGTGAGTTAGAGGAAATGAACTGATTTGTGAATATACCTGCTGTTCATAGATGATGCCACAGAGAAAGACCTTTCTGATCTGGTGTCAGAGATGGAGATGATGAAGATGATTGGGAAACACAAAAATATCATAAATCTTCTTGGAGCCTGCACACAGGATGGTGAGTAGGAGGAAAAACTGCATTCGTCCAAATACTCTGCAGTTTGATAGAATCATTTTAGAAACGGTTGGGCTTCTAGATCCTGCTCCCAGAGCACCCCGTGTGCATGTTTAAAGTTCTTTTTAAAATCCCCATTGGAAGATGTTCCTAGCCATGAACACAAAGAAGGGTCTGTGCCCGTACCTGGGGGCCGGCGGAAAGGAGGGTGCAGGGTAACTTTGGATTTGAGAGCCTGGAGGGCCCTGCTGTTTCTGGGTCATAACCTGGAGGGGGCTTTGGAAAAGGCAGCCTCCTAATGTTTTTGCTTTGTAAGTGCTAAGAGAGATTTCTCAGAATAAGATCCTATGTTTTGGTTGAGAAGTTCTTCCCTTAAAACAAGGATTGAGGAATCCACATCTTGCTGTGGGTCACAGATGGCTGAGCTCCCAAGAATAGCTTAAAATAGGAGAAAGCAGTATGAAGGAATACGTTATTTTCCCTGGGGGAGAGAGACCCTGGCTTCTTCCATTGAATGTTTGCTGGCACTTTGGAATCAATTTGCTAAGTAATTAGTAAACTCGAAAATGCGTAACTTTGACTTAGCAATTTCTCTTGTAGGTCTCTACAGGAATTGGCGAACTTTTTCTGTAAAGGGAGGTTGTAGATATTTTAGACTTTTGTAGGCCTTATGGTCTTTGTCGCAACTTCTCGTGTCTGCCATGGTAGTGAGAAAGCAGCGCTAGAAGTACAGAAATGAATGGACCTGGCTGCATGCCAATAAAATTTAATTACCCAAACAGGCGGTAGGCAGGATTTGGCTTGCAGGCTGTAGTCTGCCAACCCCAAGTCTATACCATGGAGAAATTATTGCACACGTGTGTAAAGGAACATGTACGGAGATGTTCATTGCCTACTGTTTGTTATGGCTGAAACCTGGAAGCAAATGCCCATGCATATAAGGGAATGGATAAATAAAGCGTGGTGTGTTTATGTGATACAGCATATGCAGCTGTGAAAAGGAATGATCTAGATTTATTTTTATAAGCCCAACAGGTTCCAAAAGGATAATGTATGGGGGAAACTGTTGCAAAGCGCTAAGAGCTTTATTATTCATTTATATGATTAAAAATAATATATTACTTATTGACTAGTTAAAACGAACCAAAAGGATAGAATGGAGGGATCCATGCTTTCCAAGAGGATGCAGGTGACAGCGTGAGAGTGACAGGGAAGACTGCGTCAACTGTGTCTCTGTTTTATTTCCTACAGCCTTTAGAGGCTATCATGATGAAAGGCTGATTTATCATTTTGCAGAGATTATAATGCAGGCATTCTGTTTTTATGTGTACTTTTCTGTATGTTAAAACTTTTTCTTTTTTCTTTTTTTTTTTTTTGGCGGGGACAAAGTCTCACTCTGTCGCCCAGGCTGGAGTGCTGTGGCATGATCTCGGCTCACTACAGCCTCCACCTCCTGGGTTCAAGCGATTCTCCTGCCTTGGCCTATAGTAGCTGGGACTATAGGTGTGTGCCACCGCGCCCAGCTAATTTTTGTATTTTTAGTAGAGACGGGGGTTTCGCCATGCTGGCCAGGCTGGTCTCGAACTCCTGGCCTCAGGTGATCCACCTGCCTCGGCCTCCCTAAGTGCTGGGATTACAGATATGAGCCACCACGCCCGGCCTCTGTATATTAAACTTAAAAAAAGCATTGGGTTGTAATAACTAAAAATGTTTTGCTGAATTGCCCAAGGGCAGACCTTGGATTCTCTCTTTAGGGAGCTTCTCCTCTTCCTTGACAGGGCCTCTCTATGTCATAGTTGAGTATGCCTCTAAAGGCAACCTCCGAGAATACCTCCGAGCCCGGAGGCCACCCGGGATGGAGTACTCCTATGACATTAACCGTGTTCCTGAGGAGCAGATGACCTTCAAGGACTTGGTGTCATGCACCTACCAGCTGGCCAGAGGCATGGAGTACTTGGCTTCCCAAAAAGTGAGTCCTTCACATTCTACTTGGTTGGGTGGAATCCAATTAAAAATGTCTTTAAAGAAAACAGGCAATTTAGACGTGCTCATTTGCTAGATCAAGCCCTCGCATGTCTTGTACAACCTGGAAAATATTTATTGTGTTATTCATATTTGAGTTTAATGAACTCTTTAAAACCAAAGCAGCCTCATACACCTATAGCGTCGCTGCAGAGATGAGCAGAAAAGATATCTCTTCTTTGAGACAGGACCATGTCTGATTTCCCTGGGAATTCAGCTCTCCGGGTGGGAAGTGGATAGTTTTAAAGGCCCCCTTTAATTCGGATGATTTTCCTTTTTTTTAAGCTTCATTTATTTTGTGGTTACTGAGTTTCTGAACATAGACTTTAGGTATTTAGTGTTTTGGGTTTGATATGGCACTAAATATTCTAAGAGTAAATGTCAAACAAAGGGGTATTTTAGTAACCTTGCATCCTGGAGCTCTGCGTTTATTTTGTCTCGTTTGGCGGGTGACCCTCTGTGGTTAGAAGTTGGCCAGGTCCCCTGAGGTGGACTGCCTGCATTCCGGGCATGCCACTTACCGTGGAACTTGAAACATTTCAGTTATTCTGAAAGTAGTTAGACAGGTGCCCAGATGTCCTCAGAGGCATTTTGGATGACCCAAAACTCCCTTGTCAACCCCATACATAGGGAAGCGGAGGGGCAGAGCTGCTTCCTAGGCACTGCTCCTACCTGCGGTGCACTTCATTGCAGCGCCAGGAATTCCTTGGGTCCCCAAAGAGGTGAGATCCTCTGGTGGGTGTGGACCCTCTGTCACTGGGGGTCTGGGTTGGCTGAAGGGTCACAAACTCAGGTCTCCACGGGGCCATGCCAGTCACACGACCAAGGCCTCCGAATCACTCAGAGTGCAGAGATTCGAGGAACGGCTGCACCTCAGCTCTACTCTCTGGCCACATAGGAACATGGCCCAGTGTTCTGGATGCTTTTTTCTTTCTTTCTTTCAAACAAACTGAGTGCAGTGGCATAATCACAACTCACTGCAGCCTTGACCTCCCGGGTTCAGGTGAGCCTCCCACCTCAGCCTCCTGAGTAGCTGGGACGACAGGGATGTTCCACCACACCTGGCTAAGTTTTTTGTTTTTTGTTTTGTAGAGACGGGGTTTTGCCTCTTTTTTTAATTTAAGAAAAACTTTCCAAAAAATTTCAAGAGAGTTTGGAGTTTTAAGACTTTTTCAGATTTTTTTATAGAAAAATCTCCCAATATATAGGTTTTAGGAAACTAATTAAACACAGTTTTGACTTCTGTGATTGTGTCTGTGTGCAAGTGCGTGTGCATGCATGTATGCAGGGGAGTTTGCCAATCAAAAAATATTTGGCATCCAGAGACAACCAGACAGATCCAGAACATGGGACATTTGACAAGGTATCACTTCAAAATGTCAGTGTCTCGAAAGACAAAAACTGCTGGGGAGGCAGTTCCAGATTAAAGGGGCCAATGAGACGATTTCTAAGTGTAAAAGTGGGATCCTGGGCTGGATCCTGTGGGGCGGGGAGGGTGGCCAGCTCTTAGAAAGGACATTTGTGAATGTCCTTTGAATATGGAAATTTGAATATGGACTGTATAATATTACTGATTATATTTCTGTATCAGTGTTGAATTTGGGGGGTGGTGACAGTGGTATCTGTTGCAGGAGAAATATGCTGAAGAATTGAGATTTGTGAAGTATCAGTGATGCCTGCAACTCAGTTTTAAGTGGTGTGGCCATAACATGCATGTATTGTGTGTGTATGTGTGTGGGGGCAAGTGGGGCAGGACGTGGAGACAGCAAGCGATTGAGTAGGTGTAACAAGCAAACCCAGCAGCCGTAGATACTCACTGTGCCATCCCTCCTTTTCTGCAGCTGTGAACTCTTCCTAAATAAGCCTGGGGATTGTGGCCCATCTGTAGGCTGCCTATTTTGATCTTCTGGTCTTGATCACTCCCTGCCCTACCTGTGCAGGAGATAGGGGAAGCAGTTTTGCACCCAGCAGGGCGGTGCTACTAGGAGAAATGTGGTAGGAGGGCTGGCCTGGTCATTTTATGAAATCCTTCAACATCTACTCCTAGAGCACGCCCGATGTCTCATGGCCTTGGTCAGGCTCTCCAGCGAAGTGGCCAGAATAGACATAGTCCTTGACCTCTTGGGGCAGGAACCATGGGTGATAGTAAGAGAAATTGACAGTAAATGTGGGAATGAACATCAGGCTACAAAAAAATATATTGAAAAAAATATAAAATATAAAAAATATTTAAAAAATATTGAAAAAGGTGCCGTGAAGGAAACAGTGGGATAAGGCCTTACTCATGCCAGGACGTTGCACTTTGCTGTCACTGCCATGGAAGCCGCCGAGGGGGAGGGAGAAGATCAATTTGTGCTTCAAAGGTGACTCTCACTGCTGCTTGTAGGGTGAATGGGAAGGCTGAGCGCCTGTCAAACGTGATGATAGTCTGGGCTAGGGTCTGTGGGGTCCGAAGACACTGAGAGAAGCTGGTGGGCTGATGTTGGACGTATTTTGCTCTTGGGATAGTGAACGGATTGATTAGATAGGAGGGAGAGAGAGAGAGATCAAGGATGACTTCTGGATTTCCAGCTTGAAAAACCGGATGGTGGTGCAGCTTCTAACTCTGGGAGGAGTTGGGAATCAGGGTTGGGGCAGGGGGCATAGATTTGGGTGGAAAATCCAGAGCTCGTCTTGAACGTATCTGAGTCATCCGAGGGGAGATACTGAAGAAGCTGCAGGCAGCAGCTCAGCTCTGAGGGTGGGCTAACAGCTGGGAGGCAGCAAAGGGAGCTGTGAGTTCAATCCATGGGCGTGGACAAACTCATCTGCGGAGAAGCTTGGAAGAGGAGAACAGAAGCCTGAAGTCAGGTCCTGAGAAAATTCTCAAATCTAGAGATTGACTGAAAGCACCAGAAATAGCAGTGGAGGCCGAGGAGGCACAGCCTGGGTGGTAGGAAAATCAGGACACGGAGTGCAGAGGCCCCACACAGGAGCTTCAGGAAGGAGGGGACAGGCAGTAGAGCCTCGGCGCTCAGACTGGTGAGAAGCACGGGTGTTGGGTCCTGGTCCTAGAGGCAGTGGTGGTACCCCTGCCCACCCTAGCCCTGAGGACTCAGAGCTCCTTCCTGTTTTGGAGCTGGTGGAGAGAAAACTAAGAGACGAACTTTGCTAACCAGGGCAAATGAATCTGTTTCATCATGGAAGAACGGAAGTACCCGTATTAAAGGGTTGTGATAATAGTAACTATTGTTATTATTAATCACTGACCACTCTGGGAGAAGCTAACCATCTTCCAGGCACTGTGGCAGAGCATTTGACATAAAGCATCTCTCGTAGCCCCCAGAACAACCCAGAAATAGGTGGGATTTGGATCCCCATTGTATCAGAGAGGACGGTGAGGAAGTGGCATACATACTTTGAGCCCAGATGTGCCAGGAGGACTCGGATGTCCTCACTTCTGACAAGGGGACTTGGTGGAGTGGCAGGTCCCAGACCTAGGTCTCCTGGTCCCCCACTCAGCTGTCTCCTGCTCCCAGGAGGCCCCTAACTCTCTCTAAACTGAGGCAGGACCAATGAGATTCCGCGTGTGGGGGGGTGGGGGTTGGAGGGAGTTGTTTAGTGCCCCGGTGTGGCCTCATTGCCTCTTCATTGAGCAACAGCCCAAGGTAAAAGGGATATTGCATGGGCCTTTAGGACATTACGTGGTTCCAAAGCCACTTACTGGAGGCTACCCACAGTTAAGGACCCAGAATAGGTTTGAAAATGGTGGTAGATGAAGATGTTAAGAATGGTCCCCTTGTGAGGGCTCTGCTTCCAAAAATGGAGCGCTTGTTCATGAAGGTGGAGAATGAAGAACCAGGGAAAGGGTCCAGCCCTGGCTTTCCCACACCCATCCCCTCAAAATGGGGGAGTTGTGGGCTTGAGAGAGACATGCTTGCCTGAAGGAAGGGGCAAAAGAGAACTGTTGATTACATTGTTACTGATGTACTGGGTTCATCTGTGCTCAGCGCTGGGCCGACTGAGATGAGCACACAGTGCCTGGCCTCCAGCAGCTTTCAGTTGTGCATGTACATGTGCATGTGTGAGTGTGTGAATGTTGGGGGCGGGTTGGGGACTGGAGACAGAGAAGTGAAAAAACTCCATGGTGTATACAGCAATGCAATTAGGTAATAGGGTATTTAAGCCTTATACAATTTATAAAATCCTTGCTATGTTTAGCTCAGATCACACTAATTTTACTTTTTTAACCGAATCCCAAACCCAGTTAACCCTCAAAGTGTTAAACCCGAGCAGTTTGTTTTTGTTTTTGAGATAGGGTCTCACTCTGTCATCTGACTGGAGTGCAGTGGCATGATCTTGGCTCACTGCAGCCTTGGCCCCCTGCGTTTAAGTGATTCTCCCACCTCAGCCTCCTGAGTTGCTGGGACTACAGGCATGTACCACCACACCTGGCTATTTTTTGATAGAGATGGGGTTTCACCATGTTGGCCAGGCTGGTCTTGAACTCCTGACCTCGAGTGATCCGCCCACCTCAGCCTCCCAAAGTGGTGGGGTTACAGGCATGAGCCACCGAGCCTGGCCCTGAGCAAATTTTTTTGTGTTTTTTGGAGACAGTCTAGCTTTTTTGCCGAGGCTGGAGTTCAGTGGTACTATCTTGGCTCACTGCAACCTCCACCTCCTGGGTTCTAGTGATTCTCCTGCCTCAGCCTCCCGAGTAGTTGGGACTACAGGCGCTTGCCACCACACCCGGCTAATTTTTTGTATTTTTAGTAGAGATGGGGTTTCACTGTGTTAACCAGGATGGTCTCGATCTCCTGACCTTGTGATCCTCCTGCCTTGGCCTCCCAAAGTGCTGGAATTACAGGTGTGAGCCACCGCACCTGGCCTGAGCAGTTTTTTTAGTGAAGCCCCAGCTTCCCTACCTGTAAAATGGGTATAATACTATCCGTGTCATAGGTTGCCGCAGGAATTCGATGTCATCAGCCGTACTGGGCACAGGGTATACTGTCTACGTCATAGGGGTGTTGCTCTTCCTTCCCTTAGTGACCCACTGACCTTCACCTGTTGAACACCAACACTGTCCCAGGGCCCTAATTGTGTAAAATGGTCAGCTGTCTGTGCTGGAGAGCAGCTCACATTCCTGTGGATGACGGGGATTTGGCTTGCTTTTGATTACTTTCTTTTTCTCGGGTGTAGGTTCCAAGTCTCCTCTTATTCAACCCAGAGGCTGGGGTTTGATGTTTCCTAGCACCTGGGATGAGGGATGGCCACACTAGACTCTGGGTCTTGCTGAGAAGATGGTGGAGGGAGCCATCAGCGTTGTCTCTGTGCAAGCTGAGCCCCAATGCATGGTCGGAGCCCAGTGCGTGGGAAGCACATTCTTCTGACCACACAGCTTGCCAGACATACAGAGCGCGTGTCAGTAGGAGCACACCACCGGGAGAGTTTGGCCCGGGGCTTGGAAGTTCAATTTGAAGAGGCCTCCAAAACTGGGAACCGGGCTGCAGACGAATCTCCAGGCAGCTTCTGGGAGCTCTCACGTTTCCTGCTTCCAGCCTGGCCAGGGATTGCAAGCTTGTGTGGCTTTCTTGCTTTCCCGCTTCTGGGCTTAGGCTACCCGGGGGGCCCAGAAGTGTGTGAACACAAGGAATAGCTGGCGGTCAGGGTGGAATCAAACAGTTCCTTATTTATATTTCAGGGATCACTTAGCTTGCCCCTTTTTTAATTGTCCATTTCATGGAGTGCAGAAGATCAGCTCCGTTTCAGCATTGTTGAATGGATTGATAAGACTTCATGCTTTGTATGATAGTTAGCCTTTGCCAGTAACCAGTGTAAAAGCCTTCGGTGGTGATATTTGCTTCTTTAAGTCTCATCTCTTCCCAAAATAGAAGGTGATGATGGGGGATCCTAATTACCTTGTATCTTGTGGAAATCTTGCTACATTAAAGTGTAACAAAAATGCAACAGCTCACAATAGCATATCATTTGTAGAAAGGAAAAATCATAGGCTGGGTGTGTGGCTCACGCCTGTAAGCCCAGTACTTTGGGAGGCTGAGGCAGGTGGATCACTTGAGGTCAGGAGTTCGAGACCAGCCTGACCAACATAGTGAAACCCCATCTCTACCAAAAATACAAAATTAGCCGGGTATAGTGGTGGGCACCTGCAATCCCAGCTACTTGGGAGGCTGAGGCAGGAGAATCACTTGAACCCAGGAGGCAGAGGCAGAGGTTGCATTGAGCCAAGATTGTGCCATTGCACTCCAGCCTGGGAAACAAGAGAGAAACTCCGTCTCAAAAAAAAAAAAAGAAAAGAAAGGAAGGAAGGAAAAGTCGTAATAGCTAGACCTTTCTGAGACCCAAGAGTTAGTGTCAGGACAGTAAATTAGCTGTCGTGTAGCAATATTTAATATTTCAGTGTTTAGATTCAGTGTATGTGGCACGTTCAGGCTGAGGCCAGGTGTTGGGAGAAACTGGACAGAGAATGTGGATAGACGGGCATTGGCCATGGGAGAGGCCAAGAAAAGGACGTGACTGGCCATTTCAAGAACCTTAGATATGGGACATGGAGGAGGTACAACAGGGCCAAGTTTGGAAGTGTAGAGACCCGCTGGATGGGCAGCGTGGAAGTCTCAGGGGGAAGGGGCAGACAGTGAAGATGTCCTGGGCTAAGGGACTAGCAGTGGGAAAGGCATGGTATGGACACATGGGAAGGCATTTTGGAGTTGAAATCAACAGGACTTGGGAGGAATGTGTAAAGAATACCGGTGTATAGCTCTCCGATTAAGAGAGACAAAGAGGATAAGCATTGGATAGGAGTTGAAACCTTGAATTTGAGACGTCAAGGGAACGTCAGTGTGGAAGTGTCCCATAGACAGTTGAATATGAGAACGTGGGTCTCAGGAGGGAGGTCGGGATGGAGATGCGAACTTGCGCATAATTTGTATGTGTTTAGAATTAATGCCGTGAGGATAAATGGAAATACATAAACTTAATGGAACAATTCCTCTATTGGAAGGGACAGAAAAAGAGAAGTGCCAGCCAGAGATTCTGAGAGGGCATGGAGAGAGAGAGAGAGAGCCAGCTGAGAGAAGGGGACGGGATAAAACTGAATAGAGGGGCCGGGTACAGTGGCTCACACCTGTAATCCTAGTGCTTTGGGAGGCTGAGGCGGGTGGCTTACCTGAGGTCAGGAGTTCGAGACCAGCCTGACTGACATGGTGAAACCCCGTCTCTACTAAAAATACAAAACATTAGCTGGGTGTGGTGATGGGCACCTGTAATCTCAGCTACTCGGGAGGCTGGGGCAGGAGAATCCCTTGAAGCCAGGAGGCGGAGGTTGCAGTGAACTGAGATCACACCATTGCACTCTAGCCTGGGCGACAAGTGCAAGACTCCATCTAAAAAATATTTTAAAAAAACTTAAACAGAGGGACCGTTTTAAAAAGCAAGAAATCAATAGCATCTGAAGCCACAGAGGAGGAACAACTGAGGAGTTGGAGGACATCATTTGCATCTAACAATTCAGAGGTTCTTCATAGGCTTCAGGTGAGGCAAGAGCAGAACACAGATTAGAATGTTTGAGAAGTGACCAGGAATGAAGAAGACGCAATGTTGGATTTTAACCAACGTTTCTGAAAATTCAGGTGTAAAGGGCAGGAGAGCAAGTGTTGAGAGAAAGTATTTTAGGATGCTCAGATACAGATCTATAAGCAGCTGAAAGGAAGACACCGGTGTGGCTGGACAATTGCAGATAAAAGAGAATATGGTTTAGTCTACCTTCACTTTTCAAAATGATCATTCTATTTATTTATAATTCCAAAACAAATACATGTTGTGTTCCAGGCTCTCAGATGATCCCAGTTGACCTGTCTTCTTAATTTTAGAGCCACACTGTATTTCTTTTCTTTTCTTTCTTTTTTTTTTTTTTGAGAGTCTCACTCTGTCACCCAGACTTGGGTGCAATGGCGTGATCTCAGCTTACTGCAACCTCTGCCTCCGGGGTCCAAGTGATTCTCATGCCTCAGCCTCCTAAGTAGCTGGGACTACAGGTGCGCAGCACCACGCTCAGCTAATTTTTGTAGTTTTAGCCGAGATGGGGTTTTACCGTGTTGGCTAGGCTGGTCTTGAATTCCTGACCTCAAGTGATCCGTCCACCTTGACCTCCCAAAATGTTGGTATTACAGGCATGAGCCACTGCACCCAGCCACACTCTGTTTCTTATAGTATACTACAACTGGTTTTTAACATCAGCTATCTTTTCTATCTGCATTTTAAGAAATGAACATATTTCCTTTTTGTTCTTGTGGTGTTTTGAAATTGTTATTTCTCTTGGTTCTTTCTTGATTTCAGTGTATTCATCGAGATTTAGCAGCCAGAAATGTTTTGGTAACAGAAAACAATGTGATGAAAATAGCAGACTTTGGACTCGCCAGAGATATCAACAATATAGACTATTACAAAAAGACCACCAATGTAAGTCGATGGCAGTAACACAGTGAGTGGGGGTGGGCGTGGGGCTCAGAATGTTCCAAGAGAAAGACGGTCAATGTTGAGAGCTGGGTGGGATCTATGGGGACCCATTCCCCTGCCCCTGATTCCTGTTCTTTTGCCTTTCTATTTACAAACTCTCAGTATGCAAATTTAGCCTCTATTTATGTCAATTTTAGTAAATGTGAAACACTTATATACAGAATAATCAACAGCCACTAGGATTTTCTTTTTTTTTTTTTCTGAGATGGAGTCTTGCTCTGTTGCCCAGGCTGGAGTGCAGTGGCTGGATCTCGGCTCACTGCAAGCTCTGCCTCCCGGGTTCACGCCATTCTCCTGCCTCAGCCTCCTTAGTAGCTGGGACTACAGGCGCCTGCCACCTCGCCTGGCTAGGTTTTTTTTTTGTATTTTTTAGTAGAGATGGGGTTTCACCATGTTAGCCAGGATAGTCTCGATCTCCTGACCTCGTGATCCACCCGTCTCGGCCTCCCAAAGTGCTGGAATTACAGACTTGAGCCACCGCGCCCGGCCCACTAGGATTTTCTTATGGTTCTCATCAAGAACTTTCATAGCAAAAACTAGAGCTTGGAAGTTACTGGGTTAATTTTTGCCTAATAACTGGTCAAGGAGGATTTGCATGCCAGGGAGATAAAAGAATCCAAGGAGATGGCATTTTATTAATGGTCCAGATCTGTGCATCTCACACATTATATATGGTCCTCATTGGGATTGATTTCTGCTCTATTGACTGACCAGTAAAAGCCATGAGAATATCAGCTCTTAAACAGAGCACAGCCCTATTGAGCCTGCTAAGATAAATTCTTTTTAATATACTTAGTTTTTACGTTTTCTTCTACATTTTCAGGGTCGACTTCCAGTCAAGTGGATGGCTCCAGAAGCCCTGTTTGATAGAGTATACACTCATCAGAGTGATGTGTGAGTAACTCTCTTTTCTCTGACTTCTTCCTGGGCTTAGCTGCAAAAATACTGTACGTATTTTGCCTTTCTTCCTTCTTTGGTGGCTGCTGCATTTCACACATTCGTAGAAGGTGCAGGAGCCGGCCTTAGAAAGGACGGATTTTATGGTAGGCTGATAACCAATGCTCTGTTACTAATCTGCCTGGCTTCAAAGAGCACAGGAGGTGGAACTGCTGACCTCCTCCTGCCAGAGCGGAAGTCCTTCCCTTGAACATATTCATGGATGTGCAACTACAAAGCCAATATCTAATTCGCCAAGCTCTTGGCATATTCTTCACCCCATTAAAGGAATAATCCTGGAGCTTTTCCCACTTAAGAATAGTTTGTCATATTTCCCTCTAACCCAGATTTGTCCTTAAAGAGTGGAGCTGAGTGAGATGTGGTCTAGGCTGGGGACCTCCGCAGGGTCTACTGTCTGTGTTTATCCCTCAACAAAAAGGTCTGGTCTTGCTTTGGCATACTTGATAGCATTCTAGAAACACAGTAGAATATTTCTGTTATGATACACTTACAAAACCATTCGGGTCAGGCTCCAACTGACATTTTAGATTTGAAAATTCAGTTGAAGGCTGGGCATGGTAACTCACGCCTGTAATCCCAGCACTTTAGGAGGCCAAGGCGGGTGGATCATGAGGTCAGGAGATCGAGACCATCCTGGCCAACATGGTGAAACCACGTCTCTACTAAAACTACAAAAATTAGCTGGGTGTGGTGGTGCATGCCTGTAATCCCAGCTACTTGGAAGGCTGAGGCAGGAGAATCACTTGAACCCGGGAGTCAGAGGTTGCAGTGGACTGAGATTGCGTCACTGCACTCCAGCCTGGCGACAGAGCAAGACTCTGGGGGAAAAAAAATCAAACTATTTTTTATGTGTATGAGTAGGAAGAGTTCTGGGTAGGCATTAATTCTGTGCTACCATAGTTGGTCCTCTCAATCCTAAAAAAGAAGACATTATGATCCCATTTTTGCTGTGAGCAACTGAGGCACAGAGGCTGTTCTGCCTGTCCTGTGCTGCTGCTTTTGCTCCACAGAAAACTGCAGAGTGAAACCCACCGCCATCGAGTACAGAAGGGTGAGTTTCCAGAGTGCCCATGGCATCGCTAAGCCTGGCTTTCTCAGCTTGCTCAATCCCAGAGATTGAGTCTCCTGAACTTGGCGCAGGAAGTCCCAAGTCTCTGAAGAGTCAAGTGTAAATAAATTGTGGCCTGTGAGATGTGTTCAGTTTTGTTGTGTGCAACTCATCTGGGGCATGTGAGTCCTCATCCTAACCCCAGCCCTGTGCTGACTGCCTTTGCAATCTTAGTAAGTTCCAGAGCCTCTGTGCAGCAGATGTTCCACCAGCCACAGAGGGCAGCTGTGATCCTGCAGAGCTGGCTTGCTGGCCTTATTCTGTCAACTGCCCATCCTGGTAGATCACAACCCTTGGGTCAGGCACATAGGGAGTCGGAAAGGAGCGTAAAGGCTTTGAAACTGAGAAACTGAGATCCTTGCATTGCTAACACCACAGTTAAGACAAGCAGCTCTATTCCAGAGTGATGGCAGTTTGCCTTTTTGTCTATTGATAGAAAATTCCATCAGCACATCCCCGTGTCATCATCATTTGGGGATGCTCTTGCGGGGCAGGAAAGAGCGCATAGGATGAACTGCAGGAGGGCCCATTTGTCTTTGAACTTCAGAAGTGAGGAGGTGTTTATGTCTCAGCTGGGCATGTTTAGGTTTCGGCAGTGTGGATGGGTTAGTAATGCCGTGCTTTCTCCTTTTGTTGCAGCTGGTCCTTCGGGGTGTTAATGTGGGAGATCTTCACTTTAGGGGGCTCGCCCTACCCAGGGATTCCCGTGGAGGAACTTTTTAAGCTGCTGAAGGAAGGACACAGAATGGATAAACCAGCCAACTGCACCAACGAACTGTAAGGGCTGTTGTCTTTCCTGCCGGTGCCACAGTGGACTTGCCACACCGTTAATACTTCTCCTGATGTACCTCATTTTTGAAGGCCCCTAGTTTCCTAAACATGCTCTAAGAAGAATGGCTGAAGCTCTCTGGGCTCAATCCAGAACTGGGATACATAGCAACACCGACAACCATTACTTGTCTGAGAGAAAGAACATTATTCTGAGTATGGAGAGGGCTTTGGATCAGAGGGTGTCTGGCTTACTGGCTGAGGGCTCCTGACTTTGCAGAGCCAGCGAGAGTAGTCTTCCTGGGCCACTGTGCTGTGCCTTCTGCAGTCTCCTGTGGAGGGACAGGAAGACCCACGGGTCAGGAAACAAGCTAGAAAGCCGCGGGGCCGCCCTGCAGGGTGTAGGATTAAGGAACCAACACAGCCTTTCCCCGGTGGTTGTGCCTGGCCCCCGCCTGGCCCCATCGTGGCCAGTGGTGAATCGGTATTTCCGGAACTTCTTGAACCATTGAAAATTGCCATTACAGATTGACGCCAACCACATTTCCTCAGAGCGAAGGAACTCGTGTTTGGTTACCTAGGTCTCACTTGTGTTTTAGTGCAGAGAATTAAAAATGTGTCTAGGCACCCTCCTTAGAGCACCAGATCTGCCTATAAAACCATGAGCTGGTTTCTAGCAAAACCTGCCTCACACTTTAAGTAGAGTTATGTTGTGTTGGTGACGTGTGCCTGGTGCAATAGAATCAGTGCTTTGAAAGGAGTCTCTCTGCCTCCTGCCTCAACCCCTCCAGGATTAACTAAGAAGAGTGATTGTCCCAGAGACTGCAGTCTATTGTGTATCATTTCATGGGGATTTTATATCAGTAATCCCGTGAGTGCTTTTCGTTGTACTGTGGATGTCTGATGAATGGCCACATTTTATAGCATATTATATAAAGGCATTTATTGTGCTCTTTGTCATTCTTATTGGTTTTTTTTTTTTTTTTCTTTTAACATAGAGGATCTGTCGAAACCCGTAATCAAGATAAGACCTAGGAAGCTAGGCCTATCTAAGAGTTAATCAGGAAGTTAATGTGCTGCCCAGTGGTGGCAGATTAATTCATAAAAAAATTGAAGTTGTAGTTTTCAAATTTTATTTGACGTTTTTTAAACTCGGGAAGCTTTGTCAACTACAATCATTAAGACCCAAAGCATTGGGCAGATAAATAGGAGAGCTGCTTTGGCGCAGGGAAGGGGGTCAGCGGAGGGAAGACTGGAGACCAGCCCATGGAAATACGCGTTTTCCTTCAGCCTCCAAAGCATCTTTAGGGTGTGATGCTGTTGTGAGATGTCACTGTGGCCCAGCGATACCAGGGAAAACACATAGACGTGTCTTTCTTGATGGCTTAGATGCCTTCCTAACATGTTTTGGGTTACGTGCTGTTTTTGTAAGTCAAAGTGCCTTTTGGAGGATCTGGCAGGGAAGCTTTTGGGAAAGTGATTCATGACCTCCTAATCTAGTTGCCTGGAAAGTTCTGATACATTTTCCTAATTTACAACACGTCCCCATATTGCCTATTAAAACTGACTATAACCACGTACCTAGTGTGTATGAAATTAATTCGAGGAAATCAAATTTTCCCAGGTACATGATGATGAGGGACTGTTGGCATGCGGTGCCCTCCCAGAGACCAACGTTCAAGCAGTTGGTAGAAGACTTGGATCGAATTCTCACTCTCACAACCAATGAGGTAAGAACCTCCTTCCAGAAGCCCCTTGTCCTTGGTTGGCTTGTGAGACACATGGCATTTTACACGCACACTCCCCTGTTGGCTGTTGGTTGGAGTCTGTGGTCTTGTTTATTCTTTTTCCATAGGGGTCAGATAGTTCAACTATGGGTTCCTCTGAAATCATGATTTTTCTCAGAACTTCATTTGATGAGTTCTGACTCACGAAACCAAAGACAGAGGGACATCCCCGAGGCCGCCCTCAGTGTAGCTGCTGGTGGAGCAGTCCGGGATGTGTGTGGGAGAGTGGGAAAGGGGAAGCAGTATTCACCTGCAGGACTTTGGTGTGCATGGGAAAGAGCTTGGATTCCTGTGCAAGTTTGATTCTGTGCTTTGGTCATTAGTGCGCAAACTGATAACGTTCTCATCATTTGCTTGATGGAATACAATGAAGTTTTGTAACGCCAGCTTCTGTTACCACAATACTATCCTATGTGATCCTGTCGGTAAGGGTATGTGCCTTGCAGCCTCTTTGTAGGTGTATATAAACATACCCTGTTTTCTATGAGCAACTTACATGATTTTTACATAAAAACATGTACCTTTTGTTACAATATTTATTTTCCCTAAAATATTTATGCTCTCTGCCGGGTGCAGTGGCTCTCACCTGTAATCCCAGCACTTTGGGGAAGCCTAGGCGGACAGATCACTTGAGGTCAGGAGTTTGAGACGAGCCTGGCCAACATGGCAAAACCTCATCTCTACGAAAAATACAAAAATTAGTTGTATGTGGTGGTGTGTGCCTGTAATCCCAGCTACTCAGGAGGCTGAAGTAGGGAAATCACTTGAACCCAGGAGGCGAAGGTTGCAGTGACTGAGACTGCACCACTGCACCGCAGTCTGGGAGACAGAGCGAGACTTCATCTCAAAAAAAACAGTATTAATTTATGATCTTTGCCAACAAAAGAAACACTCGTCTGTCACTCATTGTCCAAATTTAGCCATGTTAGTGGCTGCTTCAATATGCAGATAGAGTGCCTTTTATAATTATGGAAAGCATATGCTCTGAGCAGGAAAGATGTTAAACCCATCAAGTCCAGTCAAATCTTAAGATAGAGAAATTGTTAATGAATGTGTTTGGAGATATTTAATGAGGATGCACAATAGTGTTTTTGTACACAGGAAACTAACTCCAAACCATGCAATTGTCTCAACAAGAAAAATGTTAAGGTCCCCCAAATATTTTAGAAGGAAAATAATACACTTAATTTCTGATTTAGAAAATAGTTTTAGAGTGATTTCTTAAAAAATAATAATCAAATGTAGTGATATGAAGTCTTAACTCAGCAGCTTTATCTTATGCGTCTGACTGTGGCCTGTGCTGGATAAAGGAAGAGATTGCATTTAAATGAATACAGCTGACCTTCAGAAGTTGAAAGGAAAGAAACGGTTCAAGGGGGGAAAGAAACCACCTTTCTTCTTCTGCCAAAATTGTTGTTTCTAGTATAAGTTCCTTTAACTGTAGACTTGGAATCTACTGATATCCCTATTTTTTTCCTATCAGATCTGAAAGTTTATGGCTTCATTTAGAAACTGGGAAAAGTTGGCCAGGCGCAGTGTCTCATGCCTGTAATCCCAGCACTTTGGGAGGCCGAGGTGGGCGGATCATGAGGTCAGGAGTTCCAGACCAGTCTGGCCAACATGGTGAAACCCTGTCTCTCCTAAAGATACAAAAAATTAACCGGGTGTGTTAGTGTGCGCCTGTAATCCCAGCTACTTCGGGAGGCTGAGGCAGGAGAGTCGCTTGAACCGGAGAGGTGGAGGTTGCAGTGAGCCCAGATCATGCCATTGCACTCCAGCCTGGGCGACAGAGCGAGAGCGAGACTCCGTCTCAAAAAAAAACAAAACAAAACAACAACAACAACAACAAAACTGAGAAAAGCACTAAGGTTCTATTTTAATCTCATGTCTATGCTCAAAGTGATTTATTTATATATTTACATGTAGAGTGGGTCCGTTCATACTGAAATTTGTATTTAGTATCCTAAAATAAAAAAACAGAATGCCATATTGTCTGACGGATATAAAAATCGAAGTTTCTTTCCTTCTGAAAATCATTACCATATGCTCAAGAAAAATGGTTCCATTTAGGACAAAATTTCGTTTTTATCATTGTAAGCAAAAAGTTCTCTTTTGATGTGGTGGGCGTGTGTGTTTCCAGTTGTGTGGTTAATGCTGATGTTGTTGGAACTGACACGTTCCCCTTCTGGGATGGGGACTCTTTCTCTTGCCAACCCTGGTGATGAATTATAGGGGGTGTGTGTGTGTGTGTGTGTGTGTCTTTAAAAATGTCTAGTTGCCAACATTCCATGGGCTCTTTTCTGATAACACTGAGGCTGTTTGTGCTGTAGTCTGCACTTTTTGCCCCCTCTCAGCAAAACCACATGCCACAGAATAGTCATTGGCTTCTGGATGTGTGAGCAGAACTGCCCCACTGTGCCAGCCCAGCGGAGGCAGAGAGACCCACAAGCTCCCAGTTTAGAAAGCTTTTCATAGCTTCAGAACAGGGGTCGGCAACTGCTTTCTGTGAAGGGCCAAGGAGTAAATATTTTCAGCTTCACGGGCCCTATGGTCTCTGTCTCAACTTTGCCACTGTAGCCCCAAAGTAGCCACAGACAATATGTAAATAGATGTGTTCTAGTAGATGAGTTCAAGATCTAACACATCTGATAGATGTGTTCTAGTCTGTCTTCTGGTACAATTTGATGGATCCTGAAATTGGAATTTTCTATAACTGTATATAAATTTTATTCATTTTAATGCTACAGGATATTATTCTTCTTTTGATTTTTTTTTTTCGACCACTTACCAATGTTAAAGACCATCTTTAGCCCTCAGGCCATACAAGGCAGTCCGTGGGCACCCAAGTCAGGGGAAGTGTCATCCTGGGGTGAGCCAGAGGGCTTTTTACAGCCAGCACCGGATGCCTTCGGGAGCAGAGGACACTTTCTGAATCTCAAACCTTCAAAACTTTGAAACTTAACCTGTATTTTCCTAAAGTTTCCTTTAACAGCGCATTATGGATTTAACATACATGAGTATATCCAAGCCTTTTTTGAACCTGTTTACATTTTCAGCTCGGAGAGCTTCTGAGAGTAATGACTTACATGTGTTAAATTACCCACTGAATGAAGAAGTATTCCCCTTCAATTATCCCAGAAACTACAATAGTAAAATGTAATTCAGAAAATAAATATTCATGGTCTCAACTACTTAAAGGGGGCCTGGGGACCCACAGCATGTTCCTGGTTTTCATTTTGTTGGGGCTCGCATGTGAAGCAAGGGCTTTAGTGAGGAGGTGGTGTCGATTCAGCAGGTCATTTAGGTCCATGTGAAGTCGAGTTGCCTGCCCGGCACCTATAGCTCAACTAGGTTTTATTGTTCTCTACCTGCCAATCATTGATTTATGATGGGTTTCAAGAGAAAAGCTAAGGGCAGCCTGGAGTACATCAGACGTGGGTCTCAGGGGGAGGTCTTTGTGGAATTCGGGTGGGCTGAGTCTCTGTTCACCTTCTGGGGGTCTCCTGTCTTGTCCCACATTCAGTACCCACATCTCAAGAGCTTGTGTTTAAAATAAAACTCTTCTCTTCCGTTCTTTCAGGAATACTTGGACCTCAGTCAGCCTCTCGAACCATATTCACCTTGTTATCCTGACACAAGATGAAATAAAACGTCTCTCTTCCCTTCTTTCAGGAATACTTGGACCTCAGCCAACCTCTCGAACAGTATTCACCTAGTTACCCTGACACAAGAAGTTCTTGTTCTTCAGGAGATGATTCTGTTTTTTCTCCAGACCCCATGCCTTACGAACCATGCCTTCCTCAGTATCCACACATAAATGGCAGTGTTAAAACATGAATGAGTGTGTCTGCCTGTCCCCAAACAGGACAGCACCGGGAACCTAGCTACACTGAGCAGGGAGACCATACCTCCCAGAGCTTGTTGTCTCCGCTTGTATATATGGATCAGAGGAGTAAATAATTGGAAAAGTAATCAGCATACGTGTAAAGATTTATACAGTTGAAAACTTGTAATCTTCACCAGGAGGAGAAGAAGGTGTCTGGAGCAGTGGATTGCCACAAGCCACCACGTAACCCCTCTCACCTGCCACGCGTACTGGCTGTGGACCAGTCGGACTCAAGGTGGACATATGTTCTGCCTTCCTTGTTAATTTTGTAATAATTGGAGAAGATTTATGTCAGCACACACTTACAGAGCACAAACGCAGTATATAGGTGCTGGATGTATGTAAATATATTCAAATTATGTATAAATATATATTATATATTTACAAGGAATTATTTTTTGTATTGATTTTAAATGGATGTCCCAATGCACCTAGAAAATTGGTCTCTCTTTTTTTAATAGCTATTTGCTAAATGCTGTTCTTACACAGAATTTCTTAATTTTCACCGAGCACAGGTGGAAAAATACTTTTGCTTTCAGGGAAAATGGTATAACATTAATTTATTAATGAATTGGTAATATACAAAACAATTAATCATTTATAGTTTTTTTGTGTAATTTAAGTGGCATTTCTATGCAGGCAGCACAGCAGACTAGTTAATCTATTGCTTGGACTTAACTAGCTATCAGATCCTTTGAAAAGAGAAATATTTACAATATATGACTAATTTGGGGAAAATGAAGTTTTGATTTATTTGTGTTTAAATGCTGCTGTCAGACGATTGTTCTTAGACCTCCTAAATGCCCCATATTAAAAGAACCCATTCATAGGAAGGTGTTTCATTTTGGTGTGCAACCCTGTCATTACGTCAACGCAATGTCTAACTGGACTTCCCAAGACAAATGGTACCAGCGTCCTCTTAAAAGATGCCTTAATCCATTCCTTGAGGACAGACCTTAGTTGAGATGATAGCAGAATGTGCTTCTCTCTGGCAGCTGGCCTTCTGCTTCTGAGTTGCACATTAATCAGATTAGCCTGTATTCTCTTCAGTGAATTTTGATAATGGCTTCCAGACTCTTTGGCGTTAGACACGCCTGTTAGGATCTTCAAGTCCCATCATAGAAAATTGAAACACAGAGTTGTTCTGCTGAGAGTTTTGGGGATACGTCCATCTTTTTAAGGGATTGCTTTCATCTAATTCTGGCAGGACCTCACCAAAAGATCCAGCCTCATACCTACATCAGACAAAATAATCACGGTTGTTCCTTCTGTACTAAAGTATTGTGTTTTGCTTTTGAAACACCAACTCACTTTGCAATAGCCTTGCAAGATGAATGCAGATTATACTGATCTTATGTGTTACAAAATTGGAGAAAGTATTTAATAAAACCTGTTAATTTTTATACTGACAATAAAAATGTTTCTACAGATATTAATGTTAACAAGACAAAATAAATGTCACGCAACTTATTTTTTTAATACTCGTGTCTTACCAAATGGTTTCCTGTGCCTGGAGGTGCTGACTGAGTGCTGTTGTGTATGCAGGAAGGGCAGGGCTGCCAAGGGTCTTATGTGCTGCACACGGGGGTGACTTGCCAGAGGGGTTGACTGAGACCAGCAGTACCTGTGACAGGTTGAGGTTGATCCAGTGGAAAATCCGAATCGGTTGGTTGGAGCCCTGGCTGGGTTGCTTACTGGTACCTCAATGGAATCATCGTTCCTTTCTGAGCCCTGCCAGTTCCCCTGAGGAACAAACGAAGAGCCACATGGTAGAGAGCTTTGCAAACTGGGAGGTGACCTAAGGATGACAGGTATTGAGTAGGGAAGACGTTCAGAATATCTGAATCCTGGGGACTTCGAAACCTTTTAGGCTGTTTTCTTCATGATGTATGGAGAGAAGGATTTGCTTCAAATTTTCTAAAAGAAAACTCGGACACATTTTTGAATAATTATTTATTTTCATACCACCAACGATCTGAAGAGGGAAATGGAGTTTTGCCTGTCAGTTCACAAATGCAAACCTATGACTCTTAAGGGTCTGTTATATCTGCTTGCCAGCCTCAGCAGCAGCAGGAAAGGGAATTGAAAACAGGCCAACTTCTCCTGCACTTCAGCCAGGCTCTTGGAACCTTACAGGGCCATTGGTAGAGTGCTGTCTTTGGGGTCTCCTCCGTGTTTGATGCCATTCATGGTGGTGGAACCAGCCATCAGGGGAATGGCCTGGGGTCCTGGTTCTGCGTTTTCCAAACCTCTGTCCTGTTTCTTGCAAGATAACAGGGTTCTATTGGGAATGTGATTTTAAAACTAAGGTGCATGAAAGCCACCTAAGAAAAGTGTCACCTGTTAGACACAAGTGTAGAGGGTGATGTTCTGCACCCCTGGGGACATTTCCACGGTGAGATGTCCTTGGCGAGGGTGAGGATGGACTTGCTGGGGTCTGCCCTGGTCCTTCTGTGCAGCTCTCTGGTGCAGATGCTGTACTTTAGACACTGAAGGGCAGTTTATAGACTTGACGGGGTAGATTATAATGGCATTAAGAACTGCTGTATTTCTTGCCCATTTCATGGAGATGGGTGGGCAAGAATCCTAAATGGTCTTTTGGCCATTTTGATTTTAAGAGACACTTGTCATGAAAGGCAAGAAGGCAGTGTGGTCCATGGGAATGACGGGTAATACAGTACCCTTTTTTTTTTTTTGAAACCTGTCCCAAATGAGCATACACAGGCAGGATTCGATAAGAATCCTGGAGCTTATGGCTCTCCTCCCCCAAGACCTAAGGAGAGCATTGGGAATTAGTTGAAACCACATGTGATTGTCACCTAATCATGAGATGAGTTCATTTGTGAAGAACCAAAAGATTGCAGCCATCTTGGATGCATAGTGCTTGGCCTGCTGTTCCTAGCTGGGAAAGGCATATCCAAGAGGCTGCCTCAAAACATCTAGCTGATGGTGGCCTCTGGCAGTTTGGGGAGCCAGAGAAAGCGGGTGGAAGAGTAGCACCTTCACAGGGGTTCTGTGCATTCCCAGGGGACAGGGTACCCCACATCCACCACAGCCTCTCCATCCCTCCTCAGGGAGCTTCTCTGCATCTGATCTTGTGGGAAGTTCCTTAACCCCACACATAGGAACGTAGGAAATTAAAATGTGCATTTATATTAAAATATCTGACCAACGTGAGCTGCTATGAACTGAGGACTCCACCTCCAGTTTTGAAAACAAGAAATGGGGCTGCTACCTTGTACGGCATCATTGAAGCTTGCTTGCAGGGCCGGGTCCAGAGGGCTCAGCTAGGACAGAGGAGGAAGCTGAGGCTCAGCTTGAGATCCCTGAGGGTCACATGGCTGGGATGTGGTCTAAGGGACAAGACTGCAGTCTTGCTCAGTGCAGGAGAAAGACAGTGAACTGTGGGCTTGGACAGAATTGATGGTTTGTTTCTTAGAGCTGGGCGATGGTGGGCAAGTCCCAGCTTCCGTCTGGATGTTTGTCTCCAGGTGAACCTGGTCCTCACCAGCCTCTGGACTTACCATGAGGATTTGCTGTAGGGCTTAGCTGTGGCAGACAGGACTCAATAAATGTTCGTTTTCCACTTCCTGATTATTTTTTTCCTACATTTCAGTGATTTTAGTACATCCACATTGTGCAACCATCACAGCTATCTAATTCCAAAACATTTTCATCACTCCAGAAAGCCAACATATTCCCATTATCAGCCACTTCCCATTTCCCCCTTCTCCAGCCCTTGGTAACCCCCAATCTGCTCTCTCTGTGGATTTGCCTACTCTGGACATTTCATATAAATGGAATCATACACTATGTGACCTATTATGTCCAACTTCTTTCACTTAATGTTTTCAAGATTCGCTCATGTGGTAGCCTGTAACAGTACTTCATTTTTATTGCCAAATCCTATTCTATGATATGAATTTACTACATTTTGTTTATCCATTCATCCATTGATGGATGTTTAGATTGTACTTTTCAGTTATGAACCGTGCTGTTATGAACATTCATGTACTGGGTTAGTTTTTGTGTGGTCAGGTTTTCATTTCTCTTGGGCATATATGTAGGAGTGGAATTACTGGATCATATAATAACTGCTAGACTGTTTTCCAAGGTGGCTGCACTATTTTACATTCCTACTAGCAGTGCATGAGCATTCTGGTTTTTCCATATCCTTGCCAACACTTGTTATTATCCATATTTTTTATTATAGCCATCCTAGTGGATATGAAGTACCTTCCTAAGAATTTCATAGCTGAGGAGATAGGATGCAGATCATTGAATAAAGATACATAATGCTCTCCTGGTTTTTCCAGAAAAAGATACTTCAATTAATCAGCTTGGTTTCCACACTGATGAAATGGTCAAGGTCGCTAAGACGCCTCAGTGGATCTTCATGAAATGGAGAAGCTGAGAAACCAATGAATTCCATGTCTTCCCTCTTGCCTGAGAGAGGAAGGAAGCACTGCTATGTGGTGCAAGGATGCAGGATCTTTCTGGCTTGAATGCTTGAGTGTATCTCTACCTCACATCCCCAGTTTTATACCAAGTAAAGTCACACAAGCTTGAGCAATCCGTGGGGACTGATGAATGCACCATTACTTATGTATGTGGGTCCATTGGGTTCCTCCTTACCCAGCCTGCATTTTGATGTTATTTATTTTTTCATGGTTTTAAAGATGAAAGCAAAGTTTATCTTGTCTCACATTTCATCCCCAGGAGCCTTGAAATGACTTGGCTGTCGACCCTGGGCAGGGACAGCAGAAGCCGTCCACATCTTAAGTGACATTCTGGAATAGGGCCCTTCTTGTGCCCTTTTTTTCTGCTGGGTTTCTGGGGTTTTTGAATGGGCTCCTCCAAATTGCCTTGAAGTCCTGTTTCAGAGGGTCACATGAGGTGCTGTAGAAGTCAGTGGACGGGAGGGCATTCAATGTCCATCACTGGGGAACTTTCCGCCCCGGACCTTTGAAATACAAGGCAGTGGATTCCTGCCAATTTACAAAGCGATACCCCAGCATGCGAAGCCGTTCAGTGACTGAATTTAGCTTACCGTGCACATACGGGTAGGGGATTTTTCCTTCTGCAGGTCAGAACACTGCCTCCTTTTGGGCTGCACTCCTTTTAGGTTTCCTTTCCTCTTCTAATTCTTTTTTCCAGGCTGGAGTGCAATGGCATGATCTAGGCTCACTGCAACCTCCGCCTCCCGGGTTCAAGCAATTCCACTGCTCCCAGCTTCTAATTGTCTTTTGAGGACACTTAACTGATGCTTGCTGGTGTCTCTTACTAGTTAAAATCCATAGCATGAGGTTCTTTGACAGGGACAGAAGACACAGATTTATAAACTAAGAATCAAGCAGCTGGGTGTGGTGGCTCATGCCTATAATCCCAGCACTTTGGGAGGCCAAGGCAGGCAGATCACCTGAGGTCAGGAGTTTGAGAACAGCCTGAATAATATGGTGAAACCCCGCCTCTACTAAAAATACAAAAATTAGTTGGGCATGGTGGCTAACGCGTGTAATCCCAGCTACTCAGGAGGCCGAGGCAGTAGAATTGCTTGAACTCCAGAAGCAGAGGTTGCAGTAAGCCAAAATCGCGCTGTTACACTCCAGCCTGGGCGACAAGAGCTAAACTCCGTCTCAAAAAAAAAAAAAAAAAAAAAAAAAAAAGAATCAGGAAAAGTTTTCTTGGTCTGTAAGTGGGATGACGAATGATTCTATCTCAAAGGATTGTTGAGTTAAATGAGATTGTACCTGGGAAGCATGAAACAGAGACTGCTGCATATTAGCCACTGTCAACACTCAGGTATTAGCTGCTATTTCCATCTGTCTGTCTATAGCTATACATGTTGACATAGATGTAGTTACTGAGACAAATATGAAGATAAAATATAAGTATGTGTGTATATATATAAAATTGTCATTGCTGGAGAAATTTATTTGTGAAATCGCTTATCTATTATGAATACAAGTGTCCACCCTACACACAATTTTTAGCAAAAAACATTTAATAAATTTTTGGCTTTTGTTTTTTTTGAGACAGGGACTTGCTCTGTTGCCCAGGCTGGAGAGCAGTGGCACAATCGTGACTCACTGTAGACTTGACCTTCTGGGCTCAAGCCATCCTCCCACCTCAGCTTCCCGAGTAGCTGGGACCACAGGCTTGCACCACCACGTCTAGCTAATTTCTGTATGTTTCTTGTAGAGCTGGGGTTATGCCATGTTGCCCAGGCTGGTCTTGAACTCCTGGGCTCAAGCAATCCACCTGCCTGGGCCTCCCAAAGTGCTGTAATTACAGGCATGAGCCACCGTACCCAGGCTAATAAGTTTTCAATCAGCCGGGCGCGGTGGCTCAAGCCTGTAATCCCAGCACTTTGGGAGGCCGAAACAGGCGGATCACGAGGTCAGGAGATCGAGACCATCCTGGCTAACATGGTGAAACCTTGTCTCTACTAAAAAATACAAAAAAAAAATTAGCCGGGC